CTGATGATGATGATGATGATGATGATGTTGCTGCTGGTGATGATGATGATGATGATGATGATGATGATGATGATGATGATGATGCTGATGCTGATGCTGATGATGATGATGATGCTGATGCTGATGATGATGATGATGATGATGATGATGATGATGATGATGATGATGATGTGATGGTGATGGTGATGGTGATGGTGATGATGATGATGATGATGATGATGATGATGATGATGATGATGATGATGATGATGATGATGATGATGATGATGATGATGATGATGATGATGATGATGATGATGATGATGATGATGATGATGATGATGATGATGATGATGATGCTGATGTTGAGGCAGCTTTTGAGCTTCTTGGGGGCCTTTGGGGGGTCCTTGGGGGCCAGTTCGGGCCTCTTGGGGCGTCTTGGAGCCTCCTGGGGGCCTCCTGGGCCGTCTTGGGCCCTTCTTGGGCCGTCTTGGAGCCCTTTTGGGCGCCTCTTGGGCCCGTCCTGGAGCCCTCTTGCGCCGTCTTGGGGGCCTCCTGGGCCTGCGTAAGCCCTTCGTAGGCCGTCTTGGAGCCTTTTTGAGGGCCCCTTGAGCCGTTTTGGACACTGTGAAGGCCCAAGAGGCGAACATGCTGAAAATGCAGGTTTTCCTCAGGGAAATCTGTGGACCCCCCTCCCCCGCTACCCCGGCAGAGCCACCCCGGCCCACCCCCCCCTTCAACTCACACGCCGGATCGGCGGATTTTCCAAACATGGGAGTTCACGAACGACAGCAACAGCAGCAACAACAAGAACAACACCAAACACACGAATCGAGACGACGCGAACGATCACGCGCGCGCAAAATGCAGCAATGCGCGAGCACTCGTGCGCCCCCCCCCCCCCCCCCGTCCCCCTCCGCCCAAAGAAGGGGGGCGGAGGAGGGCGGCCCCGAGGCTCCACGAGGGGGGACGTCCTGCCCTGCCCCTCCTCCGTGTAAGGCGGGGGAGCCGTGCAGCAGGAGGCCCCCACCAGCGCCACCAGGAGTTGGAGGCGCTCGAGTCCCCCCCCCCTTCCTCCTCCTCCTCCTCCTCCTCCTCCTCCTCCTCCTCCTCCTCCTCCTCCTCCTCCTCCTCCTCCTCCTCCTCCTCCTCCTCCTCCTCCTCCTCGCCCCGCACGGCTTTACACAGCTCGCGGTGGGGGGGGGGGCCACGATGGGCCACCTTGGCTGCCTCGATGCACACCCGTTTTGGGACGCAACACGTGCCGTGCTCAAAACGTCCGTGTCAACACGCTGCGTGTTGGCTCAGAGTATGGGCCCACGTTTTGGCGAGCGCTTCGCGTCAGACCCACGTTGTCAGTCTGCGCGTCGAGTTCCGTATCCGTATCGGTACGCTACGTGTGGCGTGTTACGTGTCGGGGCAGCTAAGTGGGCCACAGGTTGCTGGGCCCAGGCCCCCCCTCCACTTCTACCTCCTCTCCCCCCCTTCCACTTGTGGATAGCCCGAAGCCTTTGCCCCTCATTGACTGACCGATTCCGTCCGTGACGTGACGCTAGGCCCTGGGTTTTCGCTCATTTGTTCGTGGTCCGGCTCGGCAGGCCATCGTGCATCATGGATTGGCAACCCTAGATGGGTCATGATAGCCCGTCAGTTTCCCATGTCGCGCCAGATGCCGATGAAAATTGGAGAGCGTGGTGGTTGGGTTTGCTGAGGACACGTTTGGCCGCCAGTTTTTTTTCTTGAAGCTGGTGTGCATGCATACTTGAAGAGCGCCTTGGCTGGGCTTGCTGGGAGGAGGATGTCTGGGCGCTGATGATCCAGCACAAAGACGCTCGTGTGAACAAGCATTATAAGTCGTCTAAGCTCGAAGGACATTTTTTTGCAGCGCGCGTGTTGTCGACACGTGTGGGCTTGATTTGAAGCTAGCCGTAGCCATATTTGGCCCAAGGGAGAGGTCGATTCGTGACAACACCGTGCGTGCACACGTTGCGGCGAAGACGGAGGGGCTCACATTGTCACATGCATTGCCGTACGTAGCCAGGTGTGGCCGCCCAACGCAGAAATATGTAAATGAGCCAAGGTTAGGGGAAGAGGGGTAGCCACACTTACTCACACGCTGCGCGCACATTCACATTCCCACTCTTGCCTCCCGCCTTCTCCTCCTCCTTCTCATCCTTCTCCTCCTTCTCCTCCTTCTCCTCCTTCTCCTCCTCGCCGTCCCTCCTTCCCCCCCGCCTTCCCTCCTCTCGCCTTCACCCTTTCCTCCGTTCCCCTCATCCCCTTCTCCCTACCCCTCCCGTCCCCCCCCCTCCTCCTCCTCCTCCTTCTTCTCCTCCTCCTCCTCCATTCCTTTTTCTTATGAATAATTCCTCCCTGTTGCACCCTGAGGCCAGTTTTTAGGGCGGACCGGGCGTTTCGCTTGAGACTTCGTCACCATTCGTGATTCTAAAGCTTAAACGTTGGCAACCGCTTCACAGATGGAGGGTCGTTTTCAAAATGTGGCTCTCGCCTTAGCGCCGCGCACATTCGTTTGAAATGTGGCTCTCGCCTTAGCGCGCCGCGCGCATTCGTTGTGATACATTGCAAGAGTTTCACGGATTGAGGGCGACACGTTTTCAAATTGTGGTTCTCGCCTTAACGCCGCGCATATTTTTTATACACGTTCGCAAGAGTTTCACGGATTGAGGGCGACCCGTTGTCAGCATTGGTTCTCGCTTTCGCGTCGCGCACATTCGTTTAAACAAATTGCAAGTGTTCCACGGATGAAGGGCGTCCCGTTTTCAAAATGTGGCGTTCTCGCCCTACCGTTGCGCATTTTCGTTTAACACATTTGCACGAGCTTCATGGATTGAGGGCGACCCGTTTTCAAAATGTAGTTTTCGCCTAAGCGCCGCGCACATGCGTTTTCTAAATTTACAAAAGTTCACGGGTCCCCAGGATCAGTGCACGAGAAACGGTGTTTCGGGAGGATTCCAGATTATGCGGGTGCAACAGTTACGTTGATTTGCGGTTGACGCCCTAGGAATGGCGCTTTCGCACGATTCAGGATCACCAAGGCGCAACAGTCAGGTTCATCCGTGGCATTGGAATCCCGAGACCAATGTTTTGGCATGCTTCAGAGCTCTCAATCGGTTGTCTTCCAACGAGGAAGTTCCCTCAATGGAAATGAACCGTTGTAGGGGCCTATGAAGAGGGAGCTTGGGGGAAGGGTTTTTTCCAATATCGTTGGTGACTCTTGGGTTTGCATTGGTCCTCCTCTCTTCCTCCCTCTCCTCCTCCTCCCCCTTGTTCGTCCCGCCCATCCCTCCTCCGCCCACCTCCCCCTGCAGAGGGCGGAGGAGCGGAGGGCGGATGGAGTAAGGAGGGAGAGAGAGAGGAGAAGGGAGGAGAAGGAAGCGGGGGAGCCTTGGGATGGAGGAGAAGGGACGTGGGGAGCCAAGCCCCCCCACCTCCCCATCGCCAAATTGTTGAGAGGTAAGAGAAGGTAGAGGATAGGGGGAGCCCCCCCATCGCCCCATTGTTGGGAGGTAGGAGAAGAGAAGGGTGGGAGCCCCCCCATTGTTCTGTCAGACATCTCCCGATCTGACTTGTTCACTCCGCGATCCCAGAGCTTCCGTTTGGACTGCTGCGCTATCTCGATGTTGGACGCCACAAGTTTGAACGATCTTTGACCATTCGCTAGGCTTCCTTAGAAATTTTCCGGGAGACTCGGATCTTAGATTTTGCTTCCTGGGTCCCGGGTCCATTTTCGGGTGCCCTGAAGCCCGAAGACCCAAGCGCCCTAACAGCAGCAAGGGTGAAGAGGTGTGGTCGAAGTCGAAGAGTAGGAGGCCAGCTACAGCCAGACCGAGGTATACGATGGAGGTCGGTTTGGGGAGGGTACCCTGGAGTTCTCCGTGTTTGTTGGATGTTCTTATGCAAGCGGATGTTCTGTTCGTTTTGGCTGGCGGAGGGTCTCATGTTTTTGAAGGATGTTCTTCTGGCCTGGGTCCGACTGTGTATGGGGACAGGGGTTTCCCCAGGGATCGTGACCGTCTCCACCAAACGTGTAGCCAGCACTGCGGCGACGGCGCCTGGAACGAATCGTGAGGAAGCTTTGGGCGGAACCGCCGGCCCGGAGAAGCCGATATGGGACTCCCCGTCCCCCCTGTGGGGCTCGTCTGTGGTGCGGATTCTCTTCCTCCTCCTCCTCCTCCTCCTCCTCCTCCTCCTCCTCCTCTCTCGAACAGAGCCCTCTGACGAGACGCTGTTCGGGCCGTGTCCTGCCGCCGGAGGCCACCTTCACACCCAGCCTCGGCTCCTCCCTCGGAGCCCTTCCCGACGCCGACCTCGCCGCCACTGCTGCCCGCATCCTCGCAGGAGGGCGGCGCGAGCCGAGGAGGAGCCTGGCCACGAGGAGGGGCAGGAGCAGGAGGAGCACGAGCAGGCGTGTTGTTTTTGTTGTACCTCCGGCAGGACCTTTGCAGCGACACGCTCGTCGGGGCAAAAACGCCGCGACGCGCTCTTGGGAGGAAAGCCCTGCCTCGCTCCTCCGCGCCCTGTCCTCGCCCGCCCGCCCCCCCCCCCCCCCCAAACAGTTGGGCCGAACGAAAGGGGGGGATAGGGAAAGGGCGGGGGGTACGAAATCTGCTGCATGCAGCTGGTTTCGGCCCCGCCGCCAGGCCCATTCCTCGATGCACGTGGACGCCTCCCGGCGCCGGGAGGCGCTGGGAACATCAGCCACGTGAGCGGATTCTCTACGCTACCCTGTGCTGTCCCCCCCTTTCTTTCCAGGCGATCCGCGCCGTGTCCTCGCCCGCCCGCCCCCCCCCCCGCCCCGCCCTGTCCTCGCCCGCCCGCCTCGTCCTCCTCCTCCTCCTCCTCCTCCTCGCCCTCCTCCTCCAGCTCGTCCTCCCCCTCGTCCTCCGCATTGGCCTTTCCCTCCTCCTCCGCAACTTCCTGGCCCTCCTTAGTCCCATCGAGCCCTCGGGTCCCCTCGCCTGCTCACGCCCCCGTCCCCCCCCCCCCCCCCCCCGGAACAGGCGCGAGGGGGCTGCTGCAGCCCGAGGCGCGGGGCGGCCGCGCCGAGGAGCGGGCGCCGGCCGGCGTCGCGGGCGGAGGCGGAGGGTGTCTGGGCATCGCTCGAACGTTTTTTTTTTTTTTTTTTTTTTCGGCGAGGGCCATCGAGGAGCGTTTTGCTCACCTCGGGGGAAAGAACAACAAAAAAAGCACGCGCGAAACCGAAACATGCACAGGGGTTGGACGTCCGAGCGATGGCGAGGTGTAGGTGGTCGGGGCGGGGCGCAGATCAGGAGCAACGATGCGAGGGGGGTAGGCTCGAAGAAGAACAACAACGCATAAACATAAGCTTTTGGCGCTCCGCGCGGACTTCTTGGATCCGCGGGGGAGGAGGAGGGGGATGGACGGGCATGGAGGTGCAGTATCCAGGGGCCCGAGGGGGCCGCAGGAGGGCCTTCCTCGTCCTTTTCCTCCTCCATGCAGGAGGGCCGCCCTCCTCTCTCCTCCCACCCTCCCCTCCTCGTCATCACCCCTCCCTCCTTCTCCTCCTCCTCCTCCTCCCTCTCCTCCTCCTTCGCTCTTTTCCCATTCTGCCCCCCCCCCCCCCCTCTCTCTGTCTCTCTCTCTTTCTCCCCCCCCTCTCTTCGGGGAGTGGAGGAGTGGCTTGGAGAGACCCGTCGGCTCCAGTTTTCTCCGACGACGCCCGCCTTTGGCGCCGTCGTCGGTGGTTCGCCTGCGCTCGGATCTCTTCCGTGCACGTGTGCTGCCGTCTCTCAGGTCGGGCCTGTCCCTGTACAGCGGGGATGCTCCAAAATAATCCAAAAATAGTATGGGGAGGATTTCGGGGAGTATTTTATAGGGTATGTTTATTTTTTCGCCCAAAATGCCCCTGTAGGGGGACACGCCCGAGCTAAGCCTTCCCGCTCGCCGAGCTGTGCGCGCTCCTCTTGTCCATCCCGCCCTGCACGCCGAACGTTCCCTTCTCGGCGCGCTCGGGCGCGCAGGTGCGTTCCCTGTCTCCCCCCCCCTCCCTCCATCTCCTTTGCCGCCTCTCCGTCCCTCTCTTTTCCTCCTCTTCCTCCTGTCGTCCTCCATCTTACTCTCCTTCCCTCCAGCTCCCTTTTCTCTCACTCCTCCTCCTCCTCCTCCTCCTCCTCCTCCTCCTCCTCCTCCTCCTCCTCCTCCTCCTCCTCCTCCTCCTCCTCCTTTCTACCCCCCTTCTCCCCTGCCCGCCCCAGAGGGGCCCGAGGATGGAGGCGGGAGAGGAGGAGGAGGAGGAGGGAGAAGGAGGGAGGGCCTGCACCCTCCTGCCCGAGCCCACGCCCACACAGACCCGCGTGCAAGCATCCCCCGCGCCCACATCCGGCGGCGAGGCGAGGCGGGGAAGTGAGAGGGAGAAGGCCTTCCCAGAAGGCGCCGGGGCTTCTGAGACTTGGCATCGCTCGGACGTGTGCATTTTCCCTTCGGCGAGGGCCACCGAGGAGCATCCTTGATCATTTATCGACAAAAAACCACGCACGAAACCGAAAAAAAACACGGAATGGACGTCCGAGCGATACCCAGGAGAAGCCCTCGCGGCTTCTGAAAAGTCCTTTGCGTCTTCGGGGAAGGCTCAGAGGAGCAAACTTCTCCAGGTGACTCTCGAGCCTGCTGGAAGGACCGCCCCCCTTCGCATTTCCCCCCCCCACCCCCCTGGGCTCGCCGCCGATATATGTTATCACCAGCCCGCGCCCACGCGAACACATACATTCCCCACTCAGTGCTTGCACTGAAGGGGTCGTAGCGGAAGTTGAAAGATTTGGGCTTGTTTCCCGGGTTTTGGGTTCCGGGTGCCCGGGTTCTCAGTTATTGGTTCCCGGCCGATTTCGGTGGGTTTGGGGGTGCCCGGGTTCCTGGGTTCCCTGTCGATCTCCGCAGCGAAAACCATCCACTCATTGGGTGTTTTCCTCTGGTGTAATATATATATATATATATATATATATATATATATATATATATATACATACATACATACATACATACATACATACATACATACATACATACATACATACATATAACGGCGCACCGGGTCCGGCGCACCGGGTCTGGGGGCCCGGGGCCGGGACCTCGACAACAAATGTGGGCCCCGGGGTCCCCGGAGGCTCGTCGGGGCTTGCCAGAGGCCTCCCCGGTCAGACAAGACGGCCCAAGACGCGCCCAAGACGGCCCAAGAAATTTCCAAGAGGCCTCCAAGAGGGCTCCAAGATGCTGAAGATGGCCTCCAGACGTCCAAGGACGCCCCCAAGACGCCCCAAGAAGCCTCCAACATGCGTCCCAAGAGGGCCCCTAGACGCAACAAATTGCCCATTCCTTTCGTAAAACGTACATTTTTCACAAAGTCGCCTTTTGGGCTTTCCGACGTTACAGGACGGCCCAAGAGGCGCCCAAGACCGCCCCAAGACGGCCCAAGAAGCTTCCAAGAGGGCCCCAGGACAGCCCAAGAGGGCCCCAAGACGGCCCAAGAGGGCCCAAGAGGGGGACCACGAACCGCAAGCTCGAGCCTTCCGCCCCAAGAGGCCGCCAGGAGGGCCCCAAGGAGGCCCCTCAAGAGGCCCCAGGAGACCCCCAAGAGGCCCAAAGGAGGCCCCGAGAAGCCCCAAATCGGCCCCCAAAATGCTTCGAACCTGCTTCCAGGAGGCCCCCGACAGGTTCAGAGGCTCCCGAGAAGCTACGTCAAACTCCCAGCGAGCGGCCGGACGAGGCCCCCACAAAATCACAAGAGGGTTCCAGTATTTGTATCCTTCAGCGCTCTCTGGCCTTCTGCCCCCTGCCCCCTTCCCTGCGACTTTCGTTGACTCAAGCTCGCCTCCTAGCTAGAACCTAAGCGCGCGCGAAGCGCGCGCGTGGTTCTAGAGTATATATATATATATATATGTATAAACACCTGAGAAAACCGGAATCAGTGGATACATTGAAAATTAATACTCTGGATCTTGAGATCGATGGTGAGATCGATCATGAGATCGATAGTGGAATCGATAGTGAGGACAATTATAAGGCCGATCGTGAGACCGAGAGAGAATCGATTCAATGAGATCGATAGTGAGATCGATCGCGAGATCGCTCATGCGATCTCTAGTGAGATCGCTTGTGATATCGATAGTCAGATCGACTGTGAGATCGATGGTGAGATCGATAGAGAAGTCGGTAATGAGATCGATGGTGAGACCGATCGATAAGATGATCGACCAGGAACCCGGGAACCTGGGAACCTCGCCGCCCTCCGAAATCGGCCCGGAACCCGGAGCCGGGAACCCGGGAGCCCAGCGTGCGACCAAAATCGGCAGGAAACGTTCGCCAAATCCTTCACCTTCCGCGAGGACCCCTGCAGTGCAAGCACCGATTGGGGAATCTCTAGATGTAGATATATGGAGATTTTCCTCCCTCCCAGCGCCAGGCGGGTGCCTCTCGGTCGGGCGGGGGGGCAGACGAGCAGTCCGCCCGACCCCGGCGGCACCGGGGCGGGCCCGCCGTGTGCTCCCCAGGGCAGGAGCCGATCGCTCTGCTGCCCGCTGGCCCCGTGCCTCGGGCGTGGGCCAGAGGCCTCCCGGATGCCTGTTCGGGCCTCCCGGGATGGCTCTTGGGGCCCTCTTCTGGGATGACCGTGGGGGGTTCCTAAGTGGATAGGGGGGTTACAAGTGGATGCCAAGGCGGGTCTATAGCTGGCCCAACCTGGCTTATAAGTGGGTTACGAGTGCCCTAAGTAGCTTAGGAGGGGTCGATAGCTCGGCTGAGTGGGCGGAGCCCACCTGGCCCAGATCGTTAACCCCCCTAAGCTACTTAGGGCACTTGTAACCCTCTTATAAGCCAGGTTGGGCCAGATATAACCCACCTTGGCATCCACTTGTAACCCCCCTATCCACTTAGGAACCCCCACGGTCATCCCAGTTGGACGCAGGATGGAGGACTCTCGAGCCTCAAGCGTAGAGGGCTCTCAGAGGCTCCGAGGGCGCACCACGCAGTCCCTCGCGGCACGGTGGCGGATCCCATCCGCCAGCCCCGTGGCCCTTGCTATACCTGGACCTCCCCGAGAGTCATACGACACGACCGCATGCCACGAAACCGGCCCTAGAGGCACGCGATGGCACGCGGGGATCCCAAGAACGTCCGGGCCTTGGCCCCTTAGAGAGACAGTTTCGATTCTCAGGGCTGGGAATCGCTCTGGAGGACGTGGGGGGCACCTCATTCCGTGCCTCGGGACACGGTGGCGGATCCGATCCGCCAGTCCGCTCGCTCCTGCCATCCTTGGCGGCGAGCGCAAGGACATGGCGGCCGAGCGGCGGGAGCGGCCTTCTGAGAAGGCGGGGCGGGGGGCTTCCGAGAAGGCGAGGGAGATTCCGAGACGCACCCCCATATCTCAGAGGCCTCCTCAGAGACTTGGGGCGCTTTCAAAAAGGCCTCCTAAGCGGGAGGAGGGCGTCTGAGCTTCTGAGAAGGCATGGCGGGGACCGAGACGCCCCCCATCGGCTTTTCTGAGGCCTCCTGAAGGGCCTCCCCGGCGGTTCCTCAAAGGTCCCTGGCGTCGCGCACAGGGGTGGTGCTGCTGCTCCTGCTGCCCCCTGCTGCTCCCGTCCGTCCTCTCCCCCCGTCCCTCCTCCTCCTCCTTCGCCTCCTCCTCCTCCTCCTCCTCCTCCTCCTCCTCCTCCTCCTCCTCCTCCTCCTCCCCCTCCTCCTCCTCCTCCTCCTCCTCCTCCTCCCCCTCCTCCGCCACCTACAGTCAACCCGCATTGTAAGGAGCCGCTCTCCAAGGCTACCCTTGCATCCTTCCCCTTCGGCCCATCCTTGGCCGCTTTCGCTGGCCGCGCCCCGCTCGCAAAGTGCCGACATTGCCTTCCCAGGCCCTCGCATCCTCATCGTGCGCCCTTCTTGTGCGGGCTGACTGTGCTCCTCCTCCTAGCTCGTGCTGGGACTTGCCCTGGAGCACGTGGGTGGCAAAGAGGAAGCTCCCTCCAGACAGTTCCATCTTCATCCTCTTCTTCTGAAGGGTCCAGGGACACACAAATACATAGACACACATAAAAGGATGCC